AAATTGAACGAGGCGCCGCGTACTTGCTGTATCTGGCGCCTGACGCAGCTGCGCGCACAGCAGAGGTAGGGTGAGAGCACACCTCCCCCACCCGCTCCGCCCGCACTAAGCCACGCCCACCTGGATGCTCCTCCCACCTCCCTGCCGCTGGCCACGCCCCCGTCCTTCCTCCTGGGTTCCTGGCCCTTTTCTCCCCGTTTCCCAGGCCCTGACAGCCCCTTCACCGACCCCCATTTGCACGCCCCTCCTCCTCCGCGCTGCGGCTCAAGGCAAGTGAGCGGAGGGTGGAGTGAGTCGGAGCTGGAAGGCAGCCCTGGCAATCTGTGGGATACCCCCTCTTCAGACCAGCCCTGGCCCCCTGTCCTGTGTGGGTGTGTACACGTGCAGGAGTGTGTGTACACGTGCGTGCTTGCAAGGGTGTGCATGTATATACACAATGCATGTGTGTGCATCAGGTATAAGGGCATACAGGTGTATACAGGTGGGTGTGTACATAAAAGCTTGTGTGCCTGCAGGTATGTGCACATGTATACACTTGTATGCATGCAGGACTGTGTGTAAAATCGTGTGCATGCAGGTGTGTGCATGCAGGTGTCTTGTGTGTCTGCACACGTGCACGTGTGTGCAGGTGTGTGCGCGGCTGTGGGCGTTTCCCACTGACGTGGCCTCATCAGTGCCGGGGGGAGGAGCTGGCGATCGCACCCACCGGCCTCTCCGGTGGTTTCTGCGACCTGCCAGAGCTGGCGCGCGTGTCACTGCACACTCGTGCGGGTCTTTAACGTCGGTCGTCTATGAAGCGGCCACAGAGCAGATGAGGCTGGCGGCCCCGCGGGCCCGAGTGTCCCCACCAGCTCGGAAGTTTCCGGGTGGCCCCAGGGGACATAGTGCCACCTCCGGAGCCGCGGTGAGGAGAGGACGCCAATGCAGAAAGGCCTCAGCCCAGCTCCTGGCCCGGAAGGGGTTGGCAACGCCAGGTGTCCTGGCCCCTGTCCTTGTCCTCGTGTGTCACTTTTAGCTTGAGCTCCCTCGTTTCGGCCCCTCAGGACGGGCCCAGGCCTGTTTCTACGGCAGCGGCTCTGCCCGGGATCGGGGCTCTGCGAACCGGGCGGCGACGCCCTCTGCTGGGCGTGGAGAAAACACCAAGCCGGGCGACCTGGCCGGGTACCGGAGCCGCCTGGGCCAGAGGGCGCTCTGGGCGGCGCGGACCCATCTACAAGCGGGGAAGGGACCTCCGAGGAGGGGCAGTCATCAGACCCGCCCTGCCCGGTCCGGGTAAAGAAAAACGGAGCCGCTTCCCACGTGGGGTGGGGATGCGAGTGTTCCTCCAGCATCGCTGGGCATCGGGTGACTGGCTCTGCCCCCGCCACGACCACCTGCGTCTGGGGACGCACGGTGTCCCCAGGAAGCAGCCCGGTCCCGAGCCTGTGCGCTGCGTGGCTTCCAGGCTCGGTTCCTTGTCCGTCCAACCTGAGCTGTTCCCAGCTTTTCACTGTCATGAATAAATCTACTACAGGCATCTCATCAAGGCTTTCCGTGGGCAAACTGTTTTCATTTCTCTCGAGTGGAATTCTGGGCCATAAGGTAGGCGGATGTTTAACTTTGCAGACATTGCCCAGCAGTTTTCCGAAACGATTCTACCATTTCACACGCTCCCCCGCACAGCATGAGCTCCAGCCGCCCCGCGCTCTTGCCAACACCGGGTTTTGTCTGTATTTGCAGTTTTACTTGTTGGGTGTGAAGCCGCACCGCAGTGTGGTTTTTAAGTCAAAATCCCCTGGTGACTAGATGGCGGGTTTCCATCCACCTGCTGGCTTGCTAGAGCCCCCTTGCGAAATGCCTATTCAAGTCTTTTACCCATATTTTATTTTATTTTCTGCCTTTCATTATTGATATGTAGGAGTTCCTTATATATTCTGGATACAAGCCCTCTGTCACATACATAGTCTTCTATCTCCTCTTTTTTGTGTTGATTCAATGTGTTGTGCAATTGTGCGCTCCAGTAATTACGGTATATGTATTCAACTTACTACGGTCTATTTTTTATTAACCACGAGTCCCTGTTAATATGTACAATTCAAATTAAAAATTTTTTATTTTATATTGGAGTATAGCTGATAAACAATGTTGTGTTAGTTTCAGGTGTACAATCTATTTTGAATTAATATTATACCTTACATATAATGTAATAACCTTACAACAACATGATTTCATTTACCCCCACCCGTCTGTCCGGCTACTGTGAGCATGTATAGACTCACACGTCTACTTAGGTTATAAGCTCCACAATTTATCATTTTTGCTGTCGGTTGTCTTTACACCCACATGCTCACCATTCCCAACGCCCTCTGCATCCCTTCCACAGACACGACCCTCCTTGTGTTGTAATCGCCCTTCAGCTTCACAGCTTCCTTCGGTACTTCTCGTAGAGCAGGTCTGCGGGCAACTCATTCTACCACTTTTATCTGAAAATGACTTTATTCTACCTTGAAGGATATTTTCACTGGTTGTAGAATTCTGGGTTCACGTCTTTCCTTTCGTTTACTTTAAAGATGGTTTTCTGTTGACGTCAAGCTTCCACTGTTTCTGATGAGACGTCGGGTACCATTGGTACCACTGTTTCCCTATATCGAATGTGTCGTCTTCCTCTGGTGGCTTTTGCAATCTTCTCCTTCTATTCTCGGATATTTAAATATGACGTGTCAAGGTGTGGGTTTTTTTTTTGTCTTTATTCTGGTTGGGGTCTCTGATCTTCTTGGATCTGTGGTTTGGTGTTTTTAAGCAAATTTGGAAAAATATTAGCCATCATTTATTTAAATGTTTTTTCTGCCTCATTCTCTTTTCTTTTCCTTCTGTGACGCAATTACATGCACGGTAGACTGCATTATATTATTCCTCAGTCATGGAGGCTCTGTTCACCTTTATTGTAAACTTTTTTTTTTAAACATATTTATTTATTGATGGCTGCGTTGGGTCTTCGTTGCTGCACGCAGGCTTTCTCTAGTTGCGGTGAGCAGGGGCTACTCTTCCTTGTGGTGCACGGGCTTCTCATTGCGGTGGCTTCTCATGTAGTGGCTCACGGGCTCTAGAGCGCAGGCTCAGTAGTTGTGGCACATGGGCTCAGTAGTTGTGGCACACAGGCTTAGCTGCTCCGCGGTATGTGGGATCTTTCCGAACCAGGGCTCTCACCTGTGTCCCCTGCATCGGTAGGCGGATTCTTAACCACTGTGCCACCAGGGAAATCCCTATTGTAAACGTTTTTCCCCCTTTCTGTGCTTCAATTCAGGCAATGTCTATAGGTCTCTCTTCTAGTTCACTGATTCTTTCTTCTGGATGGTCCTGGTAGCTCTTGATCCCATGCAACAAATTTGTGAATACAGATATTTTCCTCTTCAGGTAGGATTTCTATTTGGCTCCTTTTAGAGTTTTCCTAGCTTTCCAAATCTGCCCATCTCATTGGTCATCACACACATATTTCCCTATAGATTGTGATCAGAGCTACTGTAAAGTTTGCACTGTGTCCACCTGTTTCTACCTGCTCTTTCTTCTCTTGATTATGGGTCACGTTCGCCTGCCTGTTTCCCCAGGTGCTTAACTCTCTGGTCAGTTCCTTCAGCTTCTCAGTTGTTGTTTGTCTCTGGGTCCCTGGGATCTTGTCCCCTGTGTGTGCACCTCAGGAGCTGGACAGGACTTGAAAGAAGTTACTAAGGAGACATTGGGGCTCCCCCTTCTGGGGTTCCCTCCTTCCTAGGGTAGTCCCCTTCCATTTCTAGAGACTCTGCAAGCCCCAAACTCTCACCTTGGACTCCCATGTCCAACCAGCCTGCTGCCTCCATTCGAGTGCCGTGCCCATGCGCCCCAGGATGGGGAGTGCCCTCAGAGAAAACGTCAGATAAACATGCATCTGGGGGTCGCATCCCCTCCACTTTCCACCTGCCCTCGGCCCTTGTCCAGCACCTTCAAACAACTGTGTACTTTTTTAAGCATCGCATCCAGAGTTCACGATTATTATCAGCAGGAGGCTCAGTCTAGTGTAAATCTCTCCACCAGGATCAGAAGCCAGAAGCCAAGAGGCAAAACATTTAAATACAATTTCATGCCAAGTGTCCCATCGGCGCTTCTGCAGCCCTCACCAGCCCACGGGGAACAGAGTCAACCCCCTTGCTGCTGACGTAGGAGCTCAGACCCCAGCGGCCTCCTCGGGCTGTGGTTTGGGGTCCCCAGGAGATTTGGCACGCAGTTCCACCAGCCACAGGCCCCTCACTGCTGCGGGGAGCTGCCACATCTTCCCTGCCTCCACTTAAGCCCCTGCCGCTTGCTGCCTTCAGGGGTGGTCACTCCTTTTGTTTCTGCCCCACCCTCTCTCTTCAGGGCTCAGACCAGCGCCTGGACCTGGACCCCTCTGGTCCTCCCCTTCCCCATGCACCCTCATCCCAGCACCCCCCAGATGCTGGCCGTAACTTCCTCCTCCTGGGTCCCACCTGCAAATCAGCTCATGCAGCTCGAGGTCTGGGGACAAGGCTTGGCAGCCGGCTATTCACGTAAAGGTCCAGCCCTGTTGCCCCACGCACACCTCACCCTCCAGGGTGATAAGTGATTTCAGAGGGACAGCACAGGAACCCAGAGATGGGGTGGTCCCTAGAGCCAAAGGAGAGCCTCAGGCCAGGGACAGCGTGTAGTGAGAAACTCCAGAGGTCCCTAGAGTTTGCTTTGGAGTTCAGAGCCTGACTGGGGGGAGCAGGGAGGGCTCCCTGGCAGAGATGTTGTAGCAGCTGGACCTCCTGGATGGGCACACTGGGGCGTGGGGGAGTGGGCGGCACAGGTGCTAAGAAGCACTTTATGCAGATGGTCCCCTGACTTACGTGCAGTGAGGCTGGGAAAGAGCCGTGCTGGCGGGGGGGCCCCCACCTGGCGCCTGGAGCGCGCAGGGGCTGGAGCGCGTGGGTGGCCATTCCGAGGGTCTCCATTCACGCGTGCTCTTGGCCCCCTTCTCACCATCCCAGACGTTTGGCGCCGCAGACTGGGAGGTTTTCCACATCGGGGAGAGGGTGTTTCTTGCCGTCGCGAATAGTCACCGCTACGACGTGGAAATGCAAGTGCAAAACGACTCCTACGTCATCGACTCCGTCATCTACGAGCTGAACGTCACCGCGCAGACGTTCGTCAGGTTCCAGGAGATCCGCACCTGCAGGTACCGGAGCGCGGGGTGGGGGTGGGGCAGGGATCCAGGGGGACCCGCTTCCCGCCCGGCAGCCCACAGACGGCAGCGCGCCTGTGCCTCCCGGAAGCCACGGGTGCCCCACCCGCTTCCCGGAGGTGTGACGTGGCCTCACTCCCCACTCCCTGCAGACCTTTCTCCAGGGCCAGCTGAGTGGTAGTGGCTCCTGTTGTAACCTTGACTCTGCTTTCAAACGATGTGGCTTGTGTGTGTGTTTTTAAACTAAATTCACAGGTGTGTGCAACCATCACCACAGTGACTTTAGAATATTTTCATCACCTCGAAAAAAACCCCACCCTTTAGCTATCTTTGCCCCTCCCCCCACCTCCCCAGCCTCTGGCACCCACCAGTCTGCTTTCCGTCCCTCTGGGTTTCCCCATTCTGGATGCTGCCTGTGAATGGAGTACATAGGTTCTGGTCTGTTGTGTCTGGCTTCTTTCCCTCGGCATGTGTTCAAGGCTCATCTACGTTGTGCGTCAGTGCTTCACTCCTTTTAATGCCTGAGTAATATTCCACTGTATTTATTTACCTCACTTTGTTCATCCCTCATCAGTTGATGGATATTTGTCCATTTCCAAATGGTGTGGTTCTGAAGGATAAAGATATGCTTCCCATTACTGCCAGTGGCTTTACTGTCCTGCTGCTCTGGAGGGAGAGCGGGAAGTCACGCCAGACGTTTGCTTCCTCCTGGATTAAAGCCGACGCAGCTCCCGATGTGAGCTGTGGGGCAGACAGTGTAAGTCAACACTTTGCTGTTTGCGTCTTTTCCACGGCCTCGGTTTTAGAACCCAGCTGCGACCGGCAGGATACTGCACGGGGGCCACACGGCTGCCCTGCTGCCCGCGGCACGAGGCGCTGCCCCTCAATGAGCATGGCCACGGCCACGACTTTTTTTAATGACCGAATCGTGACTGGCCATGCCTGGAAGTGGCCTGAGACAGGATTCCAAACGATAGAAGAAGGAAGCAGTGAGGAGCCCCAGGGCCCCCACTGGCCTCAGCCCCCCTGCATGTCCCCAGGGACCCCCATGGGCCCTCTCACATCCAGGGTCCTGTAGGAGCTCTAGGCTAGCGCCCTCAGTGCCCCACTGAGAAGGAACCCAGGGGTGAGTATCGACCAAGAGAGAAGGGCCCTCTACTGCCTGAATAAGCCATAACCCTGAGGCCACTGGAAGCAGATGCACCGGCCTGACTTTTGGCATCCAAGTGACTCCCACTTGCTGCAAGGCTGTGGCCTCGGTTTCCTCATGTGTAAAGTGGACACAGGACAGTAATGCAGTAATCAGAGTGGTGATTGGGGACCATGGCTGATGCCCAGGTTGGCCTCCTTGGATAGACAGGGCTCTGGGATGTCCTTCCTGGAAGCCCTCTGTCAGACCCCTGGGAATTGAGCCATCTCTGAGCACAGACTCACCCTTAGCAAGTTCAGGAGGCACTTCCTGAAGACAGGATGCAGTGGTCTGTTTGCAGTAAGAACCACAGCTTGCAAATGTAGGGGAATGTCTCTGTGTCAGCAGACCCTGCTGGCACCTGAATGGCTGTCAGGGAAGGAGCCGGTGAGTGGGTGAGCTCACGGCCAGTGTCCTCAAGTTCCCGCCTCCAGGGGGTGCTGCAGGCCTTCATGGAGTGACCACGAGCTTGGGACTGTTGCTCTATTTCAACCTCTTCTAAGTGAGTGACCTTTGCACCCATGTTCATAGCATCAGCATTGACACTTGTAACCCAAGTGTCCATCGACAGAGGAATGGATAGAATGTGGTCCATTCTTACAATGGAATATTGTTCAGCCTCAGAAAGGAAGGACATTCTGACAACTGTGAAAACACGGATGAACCTTGAGGACATGATGCTCAGTGATGTAAGCCAGTCAAAAAAGGACAAATGCTGTAGAATCCACTGATATGCGGTCCCTGGAGGAGCCAGATTCATAGGGACACACAGCAGGACGGTGGGGGCCGGGGGCTGGTGGGGGCAGGGGATGGGAGGGAGTGTTTCATGGGGGCGGAGTTTCAGTTTGGGAAGATGGAAAGTTCTGTGGATGGACAGTGGTGATGGCTCCCCAACAGTGTGAATGGACTGAATGCCACTGAGCTGTGCACTTAAGAATGGGTAAAACAGACGGTTTTGTGTATTTTAGTACAATTAAATTTTTTTTATTTAAAAAAGTGAACAATTAATTTGTATTTCCCGGGAATAGGCCAACTGGCTGTGTGACTGAGAAAATCGCTCCCCCTTCTGTGGATTTTGGAAGTGGGACCTACCGCCCTGAATTCTGAGATTAGGGGGAGAACTGGCTGAACTCCAGCCCCCCGAGTTCCATGGCAACATGTCCGAGTCCCGTGTCCTAAGGTCTGCTCATTGCTTTTGCAGTGCTCTGGACTGGGAGTTCTTCTCAGTGGGAGAAGACTATTTCCTGGTGGTTGCAAACTCCTTCGACGGAAATACCTTCTCAGTAAACAGTATTATTTACAGGTAAAGGCCGTGCCCCTCCTCACCACCTCGGTTCACGTGGCGTGTGCTTGCCTTCCCCACTGGTGACCACAGGCTCAGAGCGAGTCACAGGTTATCGGGCCCTGTGGGTCACCTGGCACCCAGCGCACCGGAGTGCAGGCTGAGTCTGGGTGATGCCCCTGGGTTAGCCAGGTGACCACTAGTGTCGCTGAGGCTCACGACTTTGGATTTGGCCAGAGATGCAGTGTGTGGATACACTAATTTGAGAGTTATTCGTATATTATCCTTTAAACGTTTCCATCCAGGCCTACAGTAGACCCCTCTGTTTTTCACGTGTCCTTCAATAAAATTTTACACTTCGTCATAGAGGCACTGTGGTGTTCGCAATACCTTCACTTCTGGGAGTTTTCCTAGTTGTAAGCACATGTCCATTTCCATCTGCGTATCCTGACGATTAATTGTTGCGTCTGGTCATCCAGCCACGTTATCTCTTTCAGTTCTAATGGTTTCCTGAAAAAATGTCTGTGGGAGCTCTAGAAGTATAAGAACACCTACAAATAAAAGCGACTTTGCCTCTGTATTTCTAATGTTTTTACTGCTTATCCAGTTTTCTCAATTAGCTAGAAATTCCAGGATGATTTTGAGTCGTAGGAGCAGTGACCGGCTGTTCCGTCTGACTGATGTGATGGAAACGGTCTGGGCGTTACACAGTTTGACAGGATGTGAGCAGTCTCACCCCGCGGGCATTCTTTAGTGCCTGGCGTGCATCTTCCCGGTCAATCTGTTGACATAATGATTTATGAGAGGTGACCTTGCACTCTGGTACAAGCGTCACTTAACGAAGATGCGCAATTATTTACCGTGTCACTGGCTACCAACCATTATGATTGATTTCAGGTTTTTGTATCTGTAATAGGAAATAAAATTGCTCTGTGATTTCTTCCGGACACTTGATATGGAACCTAACTTAATAGGCACACCACCTACACCTGTGGGCTGGGATACTTTGAACAGTAGAACTAATCTGTTTTCTTTACGATGTGGTTAAATTCAGTAACAAAGCCGTCTCGGCCTGGTTCCTTTTCAATGGTGTTTGTGGAGCAGCTTGACCAGTCTCCCCCGTGGCTATTGGTTTAATCAGGTTCTACGTCTCTTCCTGAGACAAGTTTGCTTATCTATACTTTATTAGAAAAATCATCAATTTTCTTTAGACTTTCTAATTAATTGCTGTTTTCAACAAGAAAAAGTAATTTTAAAATTTTAAGTAATTTGAAACTTTTTAAAATTTTAAGTAATTTAAAATTTTTTTAAATTTTAAGTAATTAAAAAATATTAATTTTAAGTAATCTAAGTTTTAATTAATTTTTAAATTTTAAGTAATTTAAAATTTTAAAAATTTAAGTAATTTAAAAATTCATGTGGAAGAAAAAATTTTCAAAGATGGTCAAGAAAATGTTGAAAAGGAGAATAGTGAAGGAGGTCCTGACAGCGTGCAAATAAAGCAGTATGATTTTTGCTAAACATAAACAAATATGTAGAAGGAGTAGACTACAGTCCAGAAAAGAGCCGATCTTTCACAATCATCTAGCGTGATAATGCTATATTTCAGCTCAGTGAGAAAAAGACGAATTAATAAAATAATTTCCTGTAATTTTCTGTCCATCTGGAAGAAAACACACCTATACCTCTGCTTCATATTATACACAAAGTAAATTTTATAAGGAGCAAACACCTAAATGTCAAAAATTCAACAACAGAAATATTAGAAGAAAAGCTAAGATGACTTTGTAAAACCTCAAAGTTCTGCAGAGAAGATGTGAGACCTTCCATAGGCTGGAAAGAGGCCGCCAGGCCGACCACCTACATTTAAAGGTTTTCTATGGAAAGGGCGTCCCATTCAAAATCAAAGGACAAACTGTCCACAACACATATGGCAGAACAGGAACCCCACAAATTAATAAAAGATTTGTTTTGAATTTGGAAAAATGGGCAAAAGATATAAATAGGGTCTTCAGAACTAAAAATGGACAATGTGAATAAACAGGTTAGAAATTGTTGTTTCAGAGCGCGAGGATGACGCACATCCCCCATCTGTTTGGACGCTGTTTAAAGACCCACAGGGCTGAGTGTGTGTGTGTGTTCGGTGGGGAGGGCTGGCCCTTCCCCACCAGGACAGGAATCACCCCAACCTTTCCAGAAAGTCATCTGGAAAAACATTTAAATTAAAACTACGACTGCTTTTGATCCCGGCGGCCCACTCTAGGGCCTCCACCCAATGGAAACAGAGCTACCTGTCGATAAATCCCTTTTGAAGGGCAAAACCTAGAAACCGCTGACTGGGGCAGGACGAAGGGCTAGGTGCGGCATCCTCAGGTGGGAGCGGGGGTCACAGAGCCGTGTGCCGGCAGTGGGGTTCCTGCATCCAAAGAGGGGTGCCATACCTGAGCAGTGCCAGGTGTGTGTCTGAGGGCCGTGCCTCACTGCCAACCCCAGCAGTGAGGAGGGGGCTTCAGCTCGGACCCCACTATTAACCCACCAGGAGGCCCTCCCCATCCCCCGCCCGACGGAGAAATCCGAAGGCAATCTAGGCTGGGAGCAGGACCCTGGGTGGATCAGAGCAGCCGCGGGGTCTCGGACAGGGCAGGTCCCCCCTTCCGGGCCTCAGTTTCTTCTTTGCAGGCTGAGAAGGCCCCTCCTGGCCCAGCTCCCCGTGATTGTAACCTGGGGGGATTGTGAGGCTGGGATGCTTGGCCCCTCCATGCTGTGCCCGGTGGGAGAAGCAGGTGAAGAAGGCCTGGCGAGGATCACGGCAGGGGGGATACAGTGGGAGCCCCAACGCCCAGGCACCTTCTCCTCTCGCTGAGAGCAGCCTGGCGCCGGCGTCCCTGTCCCGAGGCTGACAGTCTCTCCCCACAGGTGGCAGGGGTATGAAGGCTTCGTGGCTGTGCACAGCCTCCCGACCTTCGGCTGCAGGGACTGGGAGACCTTCCGCACTGCTGCCGGCTCCTACCTGGTCTACTCCAGCGCCAAGGAGCCGCTGTCCCGGGTGCTGAAGCTGAGGACAGGGTGATGGGCCCAGGGACCCAGGAATGGGACCCACCTCGCCGCACCCCAGAACCTCACCTGAGAAGGAGCCTCCGGGGACGGGGACGAGCCTGGGAGAAGCTGTGGCTTCCAAAGCCACCACCTCGCCGCCCCTGGCTCTTGTCTAGCCGAGGATGTTTTCACTTCCACCCCGGTAACCATGGTGGCCGGACTCATGTGGCTCTGTGGGTGTCCAGGTGGAAGGCCAGAGCTGCTCCTGCAAGTCTGGTGTCCTGCAGGGATTTCGCTTTAAAGGAAAAGTTCATACAAAGTTTTACCTCAAAAACAGCGGAGCCTGGTCACCTTCCCGTGGTGCCCACCACGTGGCCAGATGCTCGGCTCTGCTTGGGGAGCCCAGACATGGGAACCGGCTGGATGCTGTCTGACGTATTTGTACCAGCTATTTGTTGTATTCTGTCTACACTGAACTGTATTTATGGTGCGCTCTACAAAAAGCACCGCTGCGTCTGTGTGTTTCTGGCGGGGACTCGACCCTCATCGAGAGCAATCACCGGGCCATAGCACGCACTCTGCCACCACAGCCCGATGTGCCCTTGGGTCCCCGGTCACCAACACGCCTCTCCTCTGCAGGATCTTTTTCCTCCAGCCTCAGTTTACCCATGAATGCGGTGGGGTAGGGTCAGGTCAGGAATCCCAAGGATGCATGGCACGGGTCTTGTCTCCTCCTGGAGCCACACCCGTGGGAGACCCCGGGCCGATGGGACCCTCTTGCCTCTGCACCCAGGCTGGTATCCCCGGTCATCGTGGCTGGCCTTGTGGGTGCACCGGACGGACTTGCACTGCCAGTGCTCGCCCAGCTCCTCCCATGTCCAATGCCCTGAGCCTACACCAGGCCTGGGCCTTCTGCCTCCCTGGGATGGCTGCTAGGTGTGACATGACACCACCCCAGGAGCCTAGGGGAGGTGCCATCACCACCGGGAAGCCTCCTCGGTGGAAGGGGAATTCTCCATGCCAGGAGCTTTGCTGCCAAGACCCTGTGGGGTCCACATCCAGCCAGGAGACCACGGGGCAGTAGCCAAGCCAGGCCTATTCCATTACCCAGGCCCCGCCTGCTCTAGGATGGGATATAGGAGCCAGGACCTCAGCGGCAGGAAGGCCCCATGCTTGGTCTAATGTTCTGCTCTTTCCGTCTCGAAATTCTGGCTGACTTTTGCCCAGGATCACACAGCCAGGGGCACGGCAGCGGCTGCAGCCACAGTCCTGGCTCTCCGTGTCGGCTCCACGTGAGAACTGGGGAGGCCCAACTGCCCAGGAAGGAAAGCTATGTGAGCCTGCTCCCTGGCCATCCTGACCAGATTTGGGATCTCAAGAACTGTGACCAGGGCCCTCTTGAATTCCCAAAGTGGAGATTTTTCTAGAGCCTCCTTCAGGCCAGTAGCTTTGCCTCCTTCAGGCAAAGAATGGGGGGTGGGGAGGGGGGCTCTGGGGCCACCAGGCCAGGGCACCTGTGTGAGAGAGGCGGCCCGGGTCTAGGACGCCCCCGGGGCAATTCCCTGCCCTTGTATACGCTGCGTACTTTGGGGAAAGAGGATGTGCCCCCTCCCTCCAAGTCAGGTTCTGCTGCTGCAGTCCCGCATCCCTCCTGGACCCACATATCCTTGCTGTCATCGTCCCTAGGCCTGGCTGAGTCCCTGCCCTGGGCAGCCGGGGGCCCCAGTGGGCCTGGCCCGGAGGGTTATGGATCTGCTGGTGCAGGGAGGGTGGGCCGAGGGTGCCAGAGAAAAATGCAGGATCCCTAGTTAAACTTGAATTACAGATAAACAATTAATGCTTTTTTTTAAAAAAACACATAGCCCCAGTGTTGCATAGAATATATACTAAAGGAGTTCTTGGTGTTTATCTGAGGTTCAGATTCAAGCAGGCTTCCCGTTTCGACTTTGATTTGCTCAACTGCCCACCCTCCCTGAGAGGGATGTTTTGTCGGCTGGGGGCTGTGATTTTAACCGGGATTTGAGGCACGGCCTGAGCAGCCCGTGAGAGGGACAGAAGGAGGGTCATGGGCCAGGGGGCCTGCAGGGAGGCAGCCTCAGTCAGAGTTGGCTGCGGGCTGGGGTGCCATGTCACCTCGGGGCTCCTTGCACAGGTGGATCCCCGGAAGGGCCCCCAGAGGCAAGGCACCCACACAGGAGAGGGGCAGCCTTCCGGGCCAGGAACACAGCAGGGCCTCCGAGACCCCTGTCTCCACGCCTGGGATGGTTGCCTTTTGTGTGTCTGGACGAGATGAACACTTACATCAGTGGACTCTGGGTAGAGAGATCGCCCTCTGTGATGTGTGGGGCCTTGCGCAATCAGTGGGAGGGGTTCCCCAGCAGACCGCCCTGGGCCTGGCACTGTGCGTCGGCCCCCCTGCCTCTCCCCCAGGCCCACCTCCCTGCAGGTTTGGGGCTCGCAGCCTCCACAATCCCCCGAGCCAATTCTGATAATGTCTCCTCTCTACACACTGTTTTCCTGGGGAGTCCTCCAGCCCCAGCCCCCGAGGACACAGTGCTCAAACGGGCAAAGGTGCCCGGGAGTCAGGACAGCTGCGTCTAGTCCCGTGGCCGAGCCTCAGTGCCCCTACGTACCCATGAGGGAGGGGTCAGCTGGGCGCTGTCTGTGCTCCCCAAGCACCCATCCTACGCGGCTTCTCTCTCCCTCGGGTGACCCGGTTGTCCAGCTGGTGCCCAGGGAGGTAGAAGGCAGACGACGAACACCAGTGCCGCCAGCGCAGTAGCGACAGAGGGAGCGACGGCCTCCTGTCCCTGCCCGGGGCTTCGTCCTGACCACGTGGTGCCGCCGCACCCCTGCACAATGTCCGATCTCTGCTCCACTGGGCGGAAACAAAAAACCATAAACCCAGATGTGTGTAAGTTATGAATGCAAATCAGAGGGGGAACAACGCAGAAAGCATGGCGCTATTTACATCTTTCCAAGTCAGCTTTCGGGCTTCTGTCCTGTTGATAAACATTCCCAAGGCGCGTGCGGCTCCTGGAAGTTTGCACGCAGTGTGACGTGACCACATTCTTGTCCCTTTGACACCCATGTCATATTTCTTCACAGCCACGTCCTGGGGATTGCTGGGCTGGTCATCCTTTGTTAATCCACAGAGATGCAACGGCCTTTTCTGTGATAAACAATACTTCAAGAACATCTTTGCACGAACTGCGTTTCTTCTTCTTCAGGGTCATGGTTTCCTGGAGAAATAGCGTCTGCGGCAGTGTTTGCGTTTCCTTACCTCCGGGGCTCCCCTCCCTGAAACCCGATCCAGGGGAAGGATGACCAGATGTGCGAATCGCACCTCTTCCACCAGCTATGCCCCCCTACTTCCCCATCTGCCAGGTTTGTCAGTGCCGTGTTGCTGGCAAAATTATCTCGTTTATAAAAAGAAACAAACTCTAAGGAAACCATAAAAATCAGACCACAGGATGGAATTCCCTGGCAGTCCAGTGGTTAGAACTCCGTGCTTCCACTGCAGGGGGCACCGGTTCAGTCCCTGGTCAGGGAACTAAGATCCCGCAAGCCGCATGGCATGGCCCACCCCCCCCCAAAAAAAAAATCAGACTGTGGGAGATAGATGAAGATTTGGACAAATCTTCAAATTGCTATCCTAACATTGTCAAAATTTCCCAAGTTCCAATGCAGTTTTTATGCGATGCCAATCAAAATCCCAAAGCTGCCCTTTTTAATTAATGAAGCTCCACCAAACATCTCAAAGAATCAATAGGCAAAAATATTTTGAAAAAGTGAGGGAAAGCTTGGAGTCCAGTATGAATTATACTCAAATTAAACAATCCAACCTGGTCTTAGCATAATATGGAAAAGTTAAAGTTATAGATGTTGGAAATAAAAAGTCTGGAATAGAATTTCTTTTGCTCTTTGGAGGGAAATTTTCTAAAGGTAAAAACAATGGAAGTAAATGAAGCCAGTGAAAAGGGAAGATAGAGGTAAAGAGATACAGTTTATATCTTTGTCAAACACATAACGTTGTGTCTTTTAAAAATATAAATAAGTAGAAATGCCACCACAAACTGAGGAAACATCAGGACTGGAGTCACTCAGACGGTCAGTACTTTGAACGTGTGAGGAGGCTTTACAAACCAGTACAAACCCGACGCCCCACGCGGACAAGAGCAAACATGGCCAGCAGGAGAAACCCAAACGGTGCAAAACAGACTAAATTGGTGAGCTACGCCCACAGGTCATGGAGCGAACATCACAACCCCAGGTGCTCCGGGGCCGGCACAGTAACCAGGACTTGCCTGGGTCCTTCTCTTGGGGCTGCTCTACAGTTGAAAACTGAGCAAAGCAGCTCTTCTGTTTGTAAGTTACTGGCTTGGAAAACCTCAGTCTTGGTGTCCCCATTACTGTGACGCCCAGACTGACAGGCTCTGACTCCAAGGCGACTTCTCAGCCCAGGACAAGGACGGGAGGTTGGTGTCCACTCTGCGCCCTTGATTCAGTGACCCCTGCGAGACCACTAAGCCCAGGGGAGCCTGGAGGGGAACTAGGTCCTGCTGAACATAAGCTGGGCTATCCCCTGGCAACACCACTAACCCCAGTGATAACCACCCCCCAGAGAGACAGCAGGACCTTGTCCTTCTGGCCAAGCAAGGCCCGCCCTGGCTGCTGCCCTGCAGTGGGCACAGGGGAAATGCCAGGTGAGCCAAGACAGTGGGGTGCCGAGGGCTCTGGGGAGCAGGACGGCCCAAGAGGGCCGCTTCCAGCTCACCTGTGCGGGCGGAGGAGCCGCCCTGGTGGGGCCTGGCAGGGGCAGCCGCTCAGAGCTGTGCTGGGGCGCCTGGGTCAGGGCCCGGGTGCCCACTCTGCACACCGCCTCAGACAACAGGCCCCTCAGAGAATTCCAGCGTAGAGGTGACCCCGCCCAGAGAGGCCTCCAGGCCCTCATCGCCGCCCTTCCAAAGGTCTGCGTGTGCGTGTGTGCGGCAGGGCAGGTGGCAGGGGGAGGAGGGTGCAGAGCCATGGTGAACGTTCCTGTGGGGTCCCTGCCCCGGGCTGGCTGGGCGCTGGGAGTCGGGTGCGACTTGATGAGATAAGGGACTTTGAACAGGTGACAGCTCAGTGTCCTGATTGCTCTGAGAGCCACACCTGCTACAGCTACAAATCCAGTGACTGTGGTCATATGTTTACATAAATGTGCTCTTTTGGGATTTTCTCCATATCTTAACTGCCCTGATGTCACTGCCCGGTTGTGGAGGCTTCACGGGCCGCTGCCGGACGTCTCTCTGCCGCCCACCGCTGCCCGGCAGCCTGGGCACGCCCCAGCTAGGAGCGCGGCGTCTCGCACGACCTTGGGCAAGTGCTCTCAGCGCTCGGTGCCTCAGTTTCCCCGTTCCTAAGTAAGGGTCAGCTGTCAACATGGGCTCTGGGGTCAGCGTCCTAGCCTGGTGGCCACTCTCCATCTACTTCCAGGCTGCTTCTGTCTCTGCTGCTTCTGTAGCCCTTCCTTCAAAGGTCCCCTCCTCCCCAAGAGCAGTTGGGCGCAGAGGGAAGGTCAGCCGGTGGGCTTGTCTCTCCGTCTCGCTTTGCACAGAACTCAGGCAGGTGTGTGGCTGCTTCTGACAGCTGAGTCAACCACGCGCCTGCCCTCTTTCTGGCCAGTGTTGTTGCCGTGGTTACAGATGCAGACCCTGGCACACCTGGGTCCCAGTGAGGGCATCCCCGCTCCTGGTCGGCACGGCCGCATGCAGGGCGGGACCTGGGAGGCTGGGCTCTGCTCTGCCTCCAGCTCTGGCCATTCTTCAATCTGGGGCTAAGCCCAGGACTTGCCTCTTTGTTTTGACAACACTCCAGGGCCCAGATGAGGACTTCCAGGCCTGGGTGTCAGAAGGCCTGGATTCCAGCCCCACTCTGCCCGCAACAAGCCAACTCCTGCATCCGCCATTTCTCCCCCTGGACCTCGGAATCTTGGGTTTCTTGTCTGAAAATAAAAACATTCCCGACCGAGCCAGGCCCCCGTGAGAGCCCGCTGAGGTGCCCTGCCCGGCGCCACGTGCCGTCCACGTGCCCTCGTGGCCGCTGCTCTTTCCCAGTGGGCAGCCTGCCCTGGGCCCACCGGGGGCCTGAGCGCTCATTTCCACGCCCGCTTCCTACAAGGCCGTGCAGCTTGGCTGCCACTGAGACCGACCTCATCCCCATCAGTCGGCACGGCCTCCGTGGGGTCCCCCGTGTGCAGCCCGCCCCCTGGCCCACCCTCACCAACTCCGGGCCCGGGCACCCACCCAGAGGCCCTTCCTCCAGGCTGGGTCCAAGCTGCTGCCCCTGAAGAGCTGTCCCTCCTGACACGCGGCCTCCTCAAGATGCTGCGGCCAGCCTGGCACTCGGGGGTCCCCCAACATCTGCCCTCAGGGCCCCCGGTTAGGGGTCGGCAAGGCCTCGCGTCTCTCCCTAGCCTGTGGGGGGCGAGGCTGATCGGGGCCCCCAGACGTCCCCTGGGCAAAGGAGAAATGAGCGCGTGTGTGCGCATGTGTGCATGTGTATGCGTACACACTTTGTGGGCACGTCTGCTGGCAGGGGCAAGTGTCCAGTGTATGGCCCTGTGTGAGCGTGAATGCGTGCACCTGTGGGCTTGCCTGGTGGGTGTGCGTGCATGTGTGGTGAGCATGGGTGTGTGTGTCTGGGTGAGCATGTGCGTACATGTGTATGAGTGTGTGCGTGCACGTGTGTGCACACTGCAGGTGTGTAGTATGCGTGTGTGTGGGGACCGTGGAAGCCGGCGGGCTCAGAGTTCCAGCCCTGCTGTGGCCCCCGCACTATGGCCCTTCGTCTGGGAGGGTAGCTCCCATCTTGCAGGGAAGGGAGTAAGGCCAACAGGTGAAGTGAGCTCCTGAGGTCACTCTTGGTCATTCAGCCAAGGCATTAAACACGTACTGACCCCAGAACTGGGACTCAGTGAGAACGAGCAGGGCAGCCATGGAGCTCAGATGGCCATCTGCTCCTAGCACAACAGCCGCTCTCAAAGTGGGGAGACTGTTAGTCCCCTGAAGCTGCTGTAACAAAGGACCACATACTTAGTGGCCTAAACAATAGCAATTTATTTATTTATTTTTATTTATCTTTTTTCTTTTTTGCGGTACGCGGGCCTCTCACTGCTGTGGCCTCTCCCGTTGCGGAGCACAGGCTCCGGACGCGCAGGCTCAGCGGCCATGGCTCACGGGCCCAGCCGCTCCGCGGCATGGCATGTGGGATCTTCCCGGACCAGGGCACGAACCCGCGTCCCCTGCATCGGCAGGCGGACTCTCAACCACTGCACCACCAGGGAAGCCCCCAATTTATTTTCTTAAAATGCTAGCGGTCAGAAGTCCAAAACGGGTCTCACTGGGCTAAAACCAAGGTGTGCAGGGCTGTTTCCTTCCAGAGGCTCCAAAAGAGAATCCATTCCCTGCCTCTTCCAGCTTCTAGGGGCTTCCTGCGTTCCTTCCTGCGTTCCTTGGCTGGTGGCCCATTTCCGATCTTCACAGGCTCCCGGGATTAGCATCTGGACATCCTGGGGGGGCCACTGCTCTGCCCCCAGAACTGACCTGAAGGGCGAGGTGATGTGAAAGCAGAACTGGCTCACCGGGTGCCAGGCAGTGTCCCTGAGGGACCCCAGCAGCAGTGCTAACAACCTCCAAATGGCCAACAGCCTTCTCGGGGCAGGAGAAGGCGTCTCGATTGTAGCTGCTGTCAATGGCCTTGAAGTAAAGACTCTCCCATGGACAACCTCAAGCTGTCATCACGGTGTCGACTGACTCACAAAATTCCTCAAAACCTGACAATCGGCCATCACGAGCCTGTTCGAGCCACTCCAGGCAGGCCCAGCACCCCCTGCACCCCAGCCCTGGCCCGGCTCTTCTAGCCGTGGGTTTGCAGTGCTGGCGGCTCCACAACACGGCAGGGTAGGCAGCGAGGGCAGGTCCGGCCCTGGTCGGGTCGCAGAGCCACAGATAACAGAGCCCCTCCGCAGTGGACTTAAGCACAAACGTTTATTGAAGATTTGCAGTCGGTAGGTGGGGAGGACAGTAGAATGGGGTTTGGGGCCAAGCCTCCAGGAAAGGCGACTCCAGAAACTGCCCCAGGCTCCTGCCATGGGGTGGGGGGGAGCTGCCACGAGTCCAGAACATTCCATCTCCTCCACAGTCTGCAGTGCGTCCTCCCCAGGGAACTTAGTCCAGGACCCAAGTCTCGTGCAAACGCATCTTGGACAGCGGGCTGCAAGGGAGGCTGGGAAGCACCCGGCACAGGGCTGTCCAGCCCCCTGCCTTTATCCCTTCCCCTCCGCCCCACCTCCTCCCTGGAGCAACTTTCCTTTAAGAAAAACACAACCAGGTTTAACGCCAGTCCCGCGTCCAATTTAAAACTGTCATCCACCCTCCCTGCAGGGGGACTGAGGGACTGGGTCCCCGAGGTGGGGGGCAGTCCCTGGTTCCAGCACTGGGGCCCTTCCCAGAGAGGAACCATTTCAGGCATCCTCCCAGCCCCAGCCTCGAGGCCCTCCTACAGCCTTGCAGCCGGCCTCGAGGAGGGGCCTGGGGTGCTTCTGGAGCAGAGCTGGGAGCCCAGCCCACCAGGGACAGCCTCTGTGTCTCAGGATGGCTCTGCTGGGGGCTCAGCAGTATGCCTGCTCATCCCCCAATGCTGGACCACCCAAGGGAGCAACTGTGGGTGTCCGGGGGCCCCAAAGTCCAAAGAGGAAGGGAGGTGGGGTGTCAGGAGGCTGTGAATGTGGGATGTCCCCTCCTAGGGTCAGGATCGGGGGTGGGGCTCTGGTTTCCAAGGGGACCGTCCATGGTGAGGCCAGGGACCGAGAGCAAGCAGTCTCACGCCGGCCCAGAGCGGCTGGGCAGGGGGACCAGGCTCCCGAGTGGCCTATGAGCCCCTCACTGCCCCTCCCCTCCCCTCTGGCCCCCATGGGAAGGATGAGAGGCCCAGCTGGGTGGCTGTCAGGACGGTCCACTCACTCCGCCCCTCTGACCCATAAGGAGCCCCAAAGTCATCCCACCCTGACCCCCAGACCCTGTGAAGTGCTACCTCCACAGGCAGGAGGCGCTTTGCAGAAGCGGGGCTGTGCGCATGAAGCTCTTTGAGGCCTCTCACCTGGACTGCGATGACAGCCAGGGGCCACCTATGTCCCACAAAGGCGCCGCCCACTGCCCCCCGACTGAGGCACCCCCTGTGCTGTGTCCCCACCACTGTCAACACGGGTCCCCTCTATGGGCCCGGCTTGACCCCGGCCTCCACAAAACTAGATGACAGCAGATGCCGGCTCATGCCGGCCCATTGGTGCTGGGCTGGAGGTGGAGGGTCAGCCCGAGGGCCCATGGGGCTGGGGCTGGGCGTCTGCACTCCCACAGGGTAGCAAGGAACCGGGTGGGCCCTGGCAGTCCCTTAGGGGAGGGGAGAGGAAGGCAGAGGAAAGGAGGAGGGGGAAAAGGGCAAGGGGAGGGCTGGGCTCCCAGACACCAGGGCTGGGAGCTGCCATGAGCAGGAAGGAGCTTCCTGGTCCTGCTGGTCTTGGGAGGGAGGTACGCTCTCCGGGGAGACCCCATGGGGGCGAGGAGGCCAGAAAGGCCAGGGGGCCCGGCAGCGCCCTGACTCTGGACCCGGGATGAGAGGGGGTGGGCCCTCGGGTGTGCTCTGGGCTCCTGGGCCCACTTCCTCTTCCCAGCAGGGCAGAACAGGAGCCCAGCAGGCCCACACCAGAGGGAAGGCTGGCTGGGCACTGGGTACCAGCAAAGGCTGGGGGGAAAGAAGCCCCACTCACTCCCCGTGCGCCCCCAGAAGAGCATCTGGCTGGCATCAGGCTCTGGGCTGGCTCTGTGTAAGAGCAAATGAAGAGTTCCCTGGCAGCAAGGAAAGGGCCCCCCAAAGTGCCCAGGCTGGCTGGCACCTATGGGACACGAGCCGCAACGGCAAGACCCTGACATCTGCCCCCACCTCCATCCAGGCCTCAGTCTGCTCTCTTCCCCTGACCCAGGGACTCAGGGTCACGTCCATCAGGCAAACCCGCCAGGCGACGGCTCCTTGTGCGGCGGGACCCCTCTCCCCACTGTGTGCTCCCCGGGATGCATGGGGAAGGGGGACCCAATTCACCCACAGAGCCCGTGTCCTGCTGGTCAGCCGGCGGCCACACGTACCTGCTCCCATGCTGTTTGTCCCATGGGTGGACCGGCACCCAGGCTGCCTGCCTGGCTTTTTTAGCTCCCACTGGAAGGGTGGGTGGGCCGTTGGTTTCCTGAGGACCCCGGCACCATTCGCAGCCTCATCTGAGCCCTGCCCCCCACTCCTGCACCCTGGTCTGGGCGGTGGGCAGAAAAGGGCCCACCCCACACTCAGAGCACAGAGCCCCCGGTTCACACTGTGCGTGCTGTGCCCCCGGTGACCGCAGGCACGGCGCTGGGGTGTGGGAGGGTAGCTGCATCTGTTGGTTGTTTTTTAACGCACAACTGAAAAATCATGACGCGCGGCATCAACGCGTCCCACTGCCAGTCCCATGACACTTTCCGAGTACAAACCTCCCTCGACTTTTACCCTTTCTAGGCATCTGTCCTTTACACCTTAGATCCATGAGCAATGTACCCCTAACTTGCTTCCCCCCAAAATATTTGAAGTAGTTTAAAATATAAACACTCATACAAAAAGACCATGAAAAATAAAACTGCAAAGACAGATCAGGGTTACACAGGTGGAGGTAAAGTCTACCCTGAACATGAATTAGGTAAGAAAACTGAGCAGTAAAGTAGCACTGAGAGTCCTGTCAGCAAAGCTGAAAGGGAGAGAGAGTCCCTGTCGCTGGAGGAAACGAAGCAACCTGTTGAACAGCCCTGAAACAGAGGTCGGTCCTCCCATCCATTGCAAAGGAGCTGCTTAGTGAGTAGAAAAGCAAGGCATGGAGCGACCCAAGATGACAGGCTCCCTGGGGCGGGCCACAGCCGCAGGAGCAGGAATCGGGGAACGGCCACACTTCTCTGGCTGCTAACATGGCCCCCTGAGGAGCTACTATGGACCTTCCTCAGGTTTCTCTCCATGGTTTAATATTTTTGGTTTTGGGTTGTTATTTTTTTTTTTTCCCTTCTCACTGGACTGAAATTTTGGTACAAGTGTTACTCTTAACAAACATTCTGAGAATAAACAAAGTTGACAGAGTTGTTCAAAGGTTACATGTTCCACTTATCTCCCGAGAAAAATCCGGTCTCTACCACTTGGCTGTGGAAAGAGCCCGGTGGTTAGAGGTGTTCAGGAAATACTGGGGAAGCAAAGGCAAGCCAGTTCCACGGGGCAGGATGACCTGTGCCTACAACCAACAAAATGCACCCAACCTCCTCGGGGAGCCTCACTCATGGGCACGCACCCTTTCTTCTCTGAATGCTGGGGGCTCAGAGGCGGGCGCCCCGTGGGGCAGGCTCCCAGTGCGGAAGGGACGTCTCAGGATGGACGGCCTGGTTTTACATCCCAGCTGGATCTCTTCCTGTCCGCGACCTTCCATTTCTCTGAGCCGTGTCCCCATCTGTCATTGGGTCTGATGGTAGAATTGCCTGACCTGAAGGTGTCCTGTGGGAAGTGCTCTGTCAGAGTGAAACATTGGACAGAAGTAGCCGTGTCACCCTCCCTGGGGGAACATCGAAGGTGGGACTCAGTCACCATCTACTACAAGAGTGACGGGAGACAGGTGGGCCTCGGCCTGCTCGAGCCATTGGGCACTAGGGCGCAGGGCTGATGGGGTCCTTGGACACAGGAGTGCTGGGCAGGGACTTCAGGTACTCCAGGTGCCTCCTGGCGTCCTCCTGGTTCTGGCGCACGTAGTACACGACGTAGGTGATCACCATGGCGAACCAGCCGAACATGGTGAGCAGCATGGCCACGTCGGTGGTCCTGTGGCGGACGCGGCAGAAGCTGGCGCCAGAGTCGAGAGCCTGGACCAGCGGCTTCCCCACGTATTCCTCCCGCACCGAGGTGTGGCAGGCGATCTCGTCCACCGAGTCAGGGTCCAGCTTCAGCTCCCACAGGGCCTCCTGCAGGGCGCACTCGCAGTGCAGGGGGTTGTGGGACAGGCGTATCTTGGCGCTGAGCTTGCCCAGCGCGTCCTTAGGAATCCTGCGGATGTGATTGTGAGACAGGTCCAGCAGCCGCAGGCCCCCGGCCAGGCCCAAGAAGGCGGCGGGGCCGATGGTCTCGATGGCGTTCTGAGACAAGTCCAGCTCTCTCAGCTGGTTCAGGTGCTGGAAGGCTCCGTTGGGGATGCGGGCGATCTTGTTGGCATCAAGCTTCAGGAGCACAGCGTCAGTGGGGATGTCCTTGGGGATCTCCTGCAGGCCCCTCCCGCTGCAATGGACGGCCACGGCCCCGGCATGGTCAGGGCACTGGCAGCTCTGCGGGCAAGAGGCGCCCAACCGCAGGCAGAAGAGAAGCAGGAGGCAAGAGCCTCCCGTGGGGACCGGCAGGGAGGACGGGCCCTGTTTGCCCATGGGGCCCATCCTGACCACCTGCAGACAGATGGCACGCTGCTCTCAGTGCTGCGGTCTACACCCTTCCCCGCTCCCCGGTGCCGCTGCGGAAGGGACCATCCCACACAGACAGAAACTCTGCTTCCTCACGTGCCAGGAAGAACGGTGTTCTCTTTCGGTCCTAAAAGAGAGGAGCAGTCAGCGTCGCTGGCCGTGGCCTGGCTGGGGAGCCGGGGGCACACTTTGACTTTGGGGGAGATGTCACAGCCAAACGGACACACTTGACCGGGGGGGGGGCGGTCTCTGTGACTTACTCCTGGATATTCCCACTGCCACCCGCAAGAGTAAGGCTGTGCTGACTGCTGGCTGGGGGTTGTGCCCAGCAAAGCCGACCGAGAACACTGCCACCCTGCCCTGGACACACCCACTGCACACCTTGGGGGTCAGGGGCTTGGACAGCACGGGGTGATGGGAGTCCACCCCTCCTAGCTACTCAGGGCTGGAAAGCAGGAAGACTGGGCTGCAGGGTTTTCATAAGAAACTGGAATGCAAGGGCGACCGCCGGCCACCGCTGGGAACCGAGCCGGCACCCTCATCCCCGCGGGGCTAGGCTGCTGTCAGAAGCTCAGCGCTTTGCTAATTGTGACAATCCCTTTGACAATTATAACATTAAAGCTCTTCTCTGTCGGCCCTAATGGGAACAGCCACCCGCACCGGCATCGCGGTCGGCGCCTTTTATTTCAATTATGTTTGAAAAAGGGAAACGAGAAAAGAGAAAAGCCAAGCCCTGGGCGCGCGGCCCGCGCTGGGCGTGGAGTGGCGGGGCCGCGCGGGGCCTGGGCGGGCGGGGTTCGGGCCCCGGGGGGACCCCAGACCTCGGACCTCGGGATCCCCAGGCTCCGGACCCTAAGGACCCCCGGGACTCCCGGCTGGGGGATGGACGGGGGCGGGGGTGTCCACGCTCCGGGATGAGAGGGGAGCTTTACCTGCGCGGCCGCGTCCGGAGGCTGCTGTGCATGAGGCTCTCTGCCGCTCGGAGTCCGAGCCGGCGCCACGCCTGGAGGGCGGCGGCGACCCGAAGGCCTACGCCCAAGTCCGCGGCCGCTGGGTACACATGCGGCTCGGCCTGCGCTCCCGGGGCGGGGCCTGGGCGGAGTCTGGGGCGGAGCTGTGGGGCGGGGCGGAGTCCGGTGCGGGACGGGGCCTGAACGACAGCAGGACCTGAGAATTAGGGGCGGGGCATGGGCGGAGCTTGTGTGGCAGGACGCGGCCAGGACATCGCGGGGCCTAAAGATGGGCGATGGGGCCAGGGCGAGGTATGGCCGGAGTCTTGAGTGGGGCGGGGCCTGGACGATGGGGGGAGGGGGTCCTGAGGACGAAGGGTGTGGCCTTGGGCGGGGCCGTAGAGGCTACACGGGGCGGGGCCTGGGAGCCTAGCTTGTGGGAAGGCGTGGGTCGGGCCTGGGATCAGGATTTTAGACAGGAGTGTGTGTCATGGGCTGTGGGCGGGGTCGTGGGGGGGGGAACCCCAGAGCCCCGCCCCTTCCCGTGTCCAGCCCCGCCCCTGGCTCTGGCTCCAGGATGTGGGAGGCGGGGGCGGGGGCGGGGAAGTTGGAGACCCTCGGGTCAGAGCGAAGCCCCAGAGCGTCTGTCTCAGGTATGGTGCCAGTGGCTGCCAAAGCGTTAATGGAGTTAGGTCTCCGCCCACCTGGGTCTCTTCCTGCCCACCCCCCCATATCCCCACCCCCACTCCTCCACCTCGCGTCTTAGGGTCCATGGATGGGCGTCCAAGGCGCGTAGGCAATGTGGGGATTGAGCCATCCTTAGGGTTTTTATAACAGCTTTACTGTGGTGTAATTGATATACAGTAAACCACATATTCAAATTTGATACATTTTGACATTTGTATACACCCGTGAAACCATCACCACCTCAAAGTATTGATAGTAAATACCCCAGAGTTTCCCGTTTGCAATCCATCCCCTCTGATCCCCATCACCAGGCAAGCACTCATCTGCTCTATCACTAGATCAGTTTGCATTTCCTGTAATTTATATAAATGGAATCGTGGGTGTGTATGTTTTGTCTAGCTTCTCGCACTCAGCATAATTCATTTTGGTTCACCAGGTGCTGATGCGTTTATCAATGGTTATTCCTTTTGGGGCTGAGTAATGAGACATTGCAGGAATGTTCCACCATTTGTATATCCACTCACCTGCTCATGGAGATTTGGGTTGTTTCCAGTTGTTGGCTATTACAAATAGAGCTGATATGAAAATTGTGTACAATCTTTGTTTGGAGAAATACTCATTTCTCTTAGGTAAATATCTAGGAGTGGAATGACTGGATCATACAGTAGCTTATTTTTAACTTCTAAGAAACTGCCCAAGTGATACGATTTTACATTCCTGTGCTGTGTATGCTGCACATCTTCACCAGCACTTGGTATGGTCACTCTTTTTAATTTTACATATTCTAATAGGTGTGTAAGGGTATATCTCATTGTGGTTTTAATTTGTACTTCACTCATGACTTAAGTGTCTTTTCATCTGTTTATTTGCTCTCTGTCTATCTTTAAGGAAGTGTTCTGTTCAAATCTTTTACCCACTTTTAATTGAGTTGTTTTCTTATTTTGAGTTTTGAGAATTCCTTGGCATTTGTATCAGATATGTGATATGTATATATTTTCTCTGATTCTGTGGATTGTCTTTTCATTCTCTTTAAAGTTTTTCAAAGAGAAATTTTTAATTTTGATGAAGTCCAATTTATCAGTGTTTTATATTTTATGGATCATTCTTCTGGTGTCATATGTAAGAAATCTTACATATTGCACTTATATTTTGCATTTGGGTCTATTATCCATTTTGAGTTAGTTTTGGTGTACAGTGTGAGGTACGATTCTTCCAACTTTGTTTTTCTATAAAGTTCTTCTGGTCATCCAAGATTCTTTGTATTTCCTCATGAATTTTAGAATCAGCTTGACAACTTCTACCCAAAAAGCCTAGTGGGGACTTCCCCAGCAGTCCAACGTTTAAGACTATGCCTTCCAATGCAGGGTGTGTGGGTTCAATACCTGGTCGGGGAGCTAAGATCCCACATGCCTCGGGGTGCAGCCAAAAATTAAAAACAAAAACAAAAAAGCCTAGTGGGCTTTTGTGTGGGATTGCATTGAATCTACAGATCAGTTTAAGAGAATTAACATCTTGACAATATTGAGTATTCCAATCCATGAACATGGTATATCTTCTCATTTATTTAGAGCTTCTTTTATTTCTTTCATTGGTGTTTTGTAGTTTTTGGTTTACAGATCTCACACATCTTTTGTCAGATTTATCTCTGATTTTTTAATGCTATTGTAAATGGTATTTTAAGTTCAATTTATCTTTGTTAAATGCTAATATATAGAAATAAAATAGATTTTTATATATTGATCTGAACTTTGCTAAACTCACTTATTAGTTCTAGTAACTTTTTAATAGAAGCCTTAGGATTTTCTACATATACAATCACGTTATCTGCAAATAAAAAGAGTATTACTGCTTTCTTCCAGTCTGAATGTCTTTTACTTCATTTTCATACCTAACTGTGCTGGCTAGAGCCCTAGTTCAATACCGAATAGGAGGAGTGAGAGCAGATAACCTTGTTCCTCTTGACCTTAAGGGGAAACATTCAGTCTTTCACATTAAGAATAATGTTGACTGTAGGGTTTTGTAGCTGTCCTTATCAGTATAAGAAAGCTTCCTTCGATTACTAGTTTGCTGAGAGTTTTTAACAGGAATGGATGTTGGATTTGTCCAACTTTTTTTCTACATCTATGAAGAATATTTTTATTAGTCTATTAATATGACGGATTATACTGATTGACTTTCAAGTGTTAAATCAACCTTGTGTCCTTGAAATAAATCTCACTGGCTCATGATGTATTATTATTTTTACATCCTGTGGAATTATTTAATAGATACAGAGTTGCTGAGGTTATTTTTTTCTTTGACTGAATGTTATAGCTTGCATCTCTCAAGGAATTGCCCATTTCATCAAATCTGTTGAATTTATCAGCATAAAATTGTTCATCCTTTCAATATAGAGTATGAAGTGATGTCACCTCTTTCATTCCTGATGTTGGTGCTTTGTGTCTTCTCTCTTTCCTTTTACTGACCAGTCAGTATGGAAGTGTGTCAATTTTATTGATAATCTCAAAGAACCAGTTCTTAGTTTCATAGATTTCTCTATTTTTTTCCTTTTCTTTTTTCCATTGACTTCTACTCTAATCTTTTACTTACATTAATTTTCTTTTCTTTTTCTAGTATCTTAAGGAGGAAGACGAGCTCACTGATTTGAGACCTTTCTTATTCTCTAGTATAGGCATATCTTGGAGATATTGCAGGTTCCGGTCCAGACTACTGCAATAAAGTGAATATCAAGATAAAACGACTCGCTTAAATTTTTGGTTTCCCAGTACATATAAAACTTATGTTTACACTATACTGTAGTCTATGAAGTGTGCAATAGCATTCTGTCTAAAAAAATTTATATAACTTAATTTTAAAATGTTTTATTGCTAAAAAAAAGTTAACCATCATCTAGTAGTAGCACCAAAGATTACTGATCGCTGATCACCATAACAGGTGTAATAACAATGAAAAAGTTTGAAATATCAAAAGAATTACCAAAATGTTACAGAGAGATACGAAGTGAACAAATGCTGTTGGAAAAAATGGTGCCAATAGACTTGCTCGACTCAGGGTTGCCACAAACCTTCAATTTGTAAAAGACACAGTATCTGCAAAGTGCAATAAAGCAAAGCACGAGACGACGAGATATGCCCGCGTCGGCATATAAATTGCCAAGTCTTGCTCTAGCTGTGTCCCAAAAACTCTATGCTGTATTTTCATATTCATTAATTTTGAGATATTTGCAAATACACCTTTTGATTTCTTTTTGACCCATGGGTTTGGAAGTACGTTATTTCATTTCCAGATATTTGAGGATTTTGCAGAGATTATTCTGCATTTGATTATTAATTTAGATCCATTGTTGTTAGAGAACATATACTGTATGTATCAAATCCTTTTACACTTATTTAGACTCATTTTAAGGACCAGAATATGGCCCAAGTTAAAAATTGTTATGTGTGTACTTAAATATGTGTTCTATTGCTCAGAAGAATATTCTATAAATATTGGTGAAGTCAAGTCTGCTGATGGTATGATTACTGATTTTCCATCTACTTGCTTCTTAATTATCGACAGAGCTGTGTTGAGGTTCCTGAGATCTGTCTGTTACTCCTTGCAGTTCTATCATTTTTTGTTTCACGCATTTTGAAGGCTTATATTCAAATTAGTATGTCCTCTTGATTAATCAACCACTTTATCATTATGAAAAGAGCCTCCTTATCCCCAGATTCTTTGCCTTGAATTCTACTTTTCTGACACTAACAGCCACTCCAGCTCTCTGTTCTGATGGGTTAGCATTATGGGATAAGATATGGGATATCTTCCTCCATCCTTTTGCTTTTAACCTCCTATGTCTTTTTTAAAAATATTTTTATTGGAGTATAGTTGATCTACAATGTTGTGTTAGTTTCAGGTGTACAGCAAAGTGAATCAGTTATACATAGACATGTATCAAATCTTTTCCCATGTAGGGCATTACAGAGTATTGAGTAGAGTTCCCTGTGCTATAGAACAGGTTCTTTTTTTCTTTTTTTCTAATAATATTCTTTTTTCTTTCTTTTTCTTTTTTTTTTTAAACCCCACGTTTGTTTATTTATTTATTTTTGGCTGTGTTGGGTCTTCGTTTCTGTGCGAGGGATTTCTCTAGTTGTGGCAAGCGGGGGCCACTCTTCATCGCGGTGCGCGGGCCTCTCACTATCTCGGACTCTCTTGTTGCGGAGCACAGGCTCCAGACGCGCAGGCTCAGTAGTTGTGGCTCGCGGGGGCCTAGGGCATATGGGATCTTCCCAGACCAGGGCTCGAACCCGTGTCCCCTGCATTAGCAGGCAGATTCTCAACCACTGTGCCACCAGGGAAGCCCAGAGCAGGTTCTTATTAGTGATTAGTTACCTGTTTTATATATAGTAGTGTGTATATGTCA